CATTAATGGTTCAAGAATTTTATGGTCTTTCAGCGTTGTCCCTGCCCCCTAACCTCAGTTCCAAAATTACTTTCTAGTTTTTTACTCTCGACATTTCATTATTTCATAAGATTATTTTAAATGTTTTATTTTAAGTTTTACAGGTGCTAGTTGCGGTGACTTCAATGCTCGGTTCTTATTTATGTTTTATATCATTCTTATGTTTCTTACTAACAATAAGTTACTGCGATGATTGTACTTTCAAGCAAATGTCGTTAAAATTTTTTTTTTTAGGTCGAAGCTATTACATTTATATCATTATTGATCTCATTCAAACATTTACACGCCATTTCAGGCCTAATCATTCTATGTGAGACATGTATTTCAAAAATGTCCCATTGTATCCTCTTTACGTAAGAGCCATCGTATAAGAAACAGGTATCGCAATAGTTATTTTTGTATTCAAAGAAGGAATCGTTTTTAGCCGACAATATACCTGACATAATAATGAAATCACAATTGTCAATAAAATATAGAAAATAATAGGGTATTATTAAATCAATCACAGTATTAATTTAGGTAGCTTTTAATGTTTGCCGTCATCTCTATCTTAAATCTATATTTGACTCCAACAAAAAAAAAAAAATTAACTACTCTTTCAAGTTAAAATAATGTTTTTTATAGTTTTTAGTTACGTAAATTAAATTTATTACTGAAGATGAACAAAAATTAAACTTAATTGTGTAAATCTGCAAACTAGTTTTGCGCGTTTTAATCCGGATTATCATATTTCACCCTCGGCATAATAAAGACTACACATTTGACCGGTTTAGAGAATTAAGAATTAACCGGATATGACTGATAAATTGAGTGGTCTAGACGTCGTGTCGTGGGAAGGACAACAGAGGTTTTATAAGAGAAACCGTAGTATTTAAAAAAACACATGACAAATTACTTTATTCTTCATAAGGTGCTTTACTAAAAAACTACGCTACATGTAAAAATGTATATTAAAATATGATACCTACTTAATATGAATGATACGTTATAAACACCATCTTATGTTAAGTTCTTTTTAAAAAGGTATCTTTTTTGTTATTTGTTATTGTTGTTGTGTTTTATACTGCAAAAAAAAAATGGTAAATTGATAGTCTGATTTGAATATAAAAAGAAAATATTTATTATACGTTAACTCCATAGCCTTGAAATTCTTTGTGACGACAAGAAAATTTATCGGACACCATGTACTTATTATGAGAATATCCTATTTATCTACCGATAAAAATATTTTAAAATGGAAGTTGAGTACCAAATTTTGCATACGGAGTGTTTAAAAAGTAAGGAAACAGGTCAATTGTTACAAACAATGAGGACAATAGAAACTCTTTCCCTTGCTTACTGAACACCTTGTATAGTACACAATGTAGTTAGAAATCAATGAACTGAACTTCACATCTAATCAAACATAAACAAGGCATTTCAGGAAACGAATTAAATCTATGTTTTTGAAAATTCAGATATTAATTATGGTATCCAGATTTAAAATTTAAAAAATTACTGACGTAATCAATTTATATCTTTTTTTTATTTATAAACACCGTGTGCAACAAATCTCAGTAAGGTATCTAAATAACAAAGCTCAATATTAGTTATTTAAAAGGCATCACATTCAGTGAGAATCTATGAAGCTAACCATGTAGCTGTAAAGTCAACTTAAATTGATTGAAGTCATTCTAGTTTCCTTTCATTTTGCAAAAATATTTATTGAATTAACTTAGCGGTAAGTACGTGTCGTGAAATCAAAGACTATAAATGTTGACGTTACTATTAGTTGTTTTAATTATAATTTATTGATTTCTCATTTAATACCGGGAAATTGATTTTATATTTTTTTACCGTGCTCATAAATATTTTTTAACAACTGTTGATATGTTTTGACAAACATTGACTTTGACATATTGATTTTTTCTATACACATCTGCGGGCTGTGAGTATTACTATATTAGTTGTATGCATCTGGTGCACCGTGGCAATCATATGTATCTTTCTGTAGCTAAAAACCTCTCACCACTTGCCGCGGTGACCTTGTCAAGGCCTGAAGTGCATTGACCACACATTCACACCTGGAAAAGATGACTACGATAATGATGATGGACGTTAGATACCATAATCTACATGGCTCCACATCTACAATATAAAATAAAAAAAAACAAGATAAAGATAAGGTGTACGTCCAACTAATTTAATGATGAATAATATCGTAGTGTTGATCGATTGTATTATTCGTGAACAAAAAACGCTCATCGTCAATATTGCACTATTCTCCTAAGTTTCGAGTAGTTTGACTATTCGCTGCCCAAAGAATGTAATAAGACGAACAGACGATTGCAAAGGTTCTTGGGGTCACTTCGTCAGAATATGTAATTGAGTGTGTCTTCCATACTAGCAATGACTAATAAGTCCCCGTCATTTAAATAATTAAACTCTCAGAGACGACCAGGAATTCTTCAAATTTATTTTTTTTAATGAGAATACTAAATATAATACCAAAATCAATAATAGTGAAATTTAATATGACCATATTTATAACAATAATACTGAGCTATAAAATCAAAATTGATGTTTAGAGGACATTTAAAAATGTTTGTGACTAAAAAATATTTAGGTAATTTACATACAACGTATAAAACTTATTTTAAGTAACACATTCTTAAAGTAAATTTTGATGTTATATTTTTTAAAACTTTTCATAGTTTTTATAATTGTATATTATAACTAAATACACTTTATCTACTTAGAGAACAAGTACTGGTATTAGTACTATTTTTAGCTTCGATGCGAAGGTGAGAAGGTATTAATTTTACTATAATATGCTTTTTTTTTTAATTTTTAATTTTTTTTTGTCTGTTAATACTTTTTCTCAGCTCCCGCCGAACCGATTTCTTTCAACAATACGTCAAAAGATCACAAATCGTATCTAGTCAAAGACATTACCCTCAAAAATTGAACAAATTTCCCTCATTTCGCGTAAATGGAGAGAATCTCCAAAAAATTACAAATTTATAAATCGCTTATTTTCGAAATTTTTTCAATTTTTTTTACTTAAAACTGCCATAATTTTTTTAAAAATGACCAAATTTATAGATGAACAATATCTTTAACTATCATTTGATATATTTTTTTTATAAATCTGACACTTTACCTGCCCACAGGGGGGATTCAAAATGACAACTTTTCAACTTAACTTGTAAAAGTGTTCTAGAAATACTGACACTTTTTATATACCTTAAATTAAAGCTTATGTAATATAAATTGTTATTGAAAAAAGAAATGTCGGACTTTAGTTTGTTTTCATGATGAAAAGTAACATCATAGTTAATAAAAAAATAAGATTTTTGTAAAAAAATTATTTTCTATATTTTTAATTTTATAATTATCTATACTTTTTAAAAAATTTATGGATCAATACAATTTTTTTATGATAAATACTATTTATATACCTCTTTCAATCGACATACTTTTTTTTTTAATATTTATATATTATAAATATATTACACTTATAAATTATAAACAGGATATAAATAAGGAAATAGGAGATCATGTAGCTTTTGGAATAATCCACAAATTTAAACACTATATACAGATTTGCATCGAGGCATTTTTTATGATAGTGATTTTAATCACTGTCAGATATCTTTATACTTGACCCAATTATGCCATATCACCACTGTGCCGCGACCCCACTGTGCTGGTTTTTATTTTTTTAATAAAAACTAAAGAAGTATTTATAAAACTCGTATTAATGAATGTAAAAAGAAAAATAATTTGACTGGCAAATAATTGATATTGTTAAACATCACAGTAGACGTTTGATGACGAAAAATAATTGTGTGTATTTTATTTTATTATTATTATTTTTTTTGCAGTTATATAGCAAGTCTATTATGTATAGTTGTCATCAAATTGCAAAATTACCATGCACAAGTAAAATTGAATAGACTTTTTTGGCATTTATCGATTTTTCTTCGTCAGAAATTGTCTACAGTTGTTTATTATTATCATATAACGCTTAATAATACACATGTTTATGTAATAGCGAACATAGTCGACCTTCTCCATCAATGTATCCGTTCGCGTTTCTTCTTTGTCCCAACGACACTATGCCGAAAGTCGGTCATTCGTTTCCAATACATTTTGATTTAATGGACACTGGCGGCAACAGATAACGTATTTACTATTGCGAAGAGAGAGACAGACACGGGCAATTTATTAGACGCCGAGATTTATTGTAAAATAACCATTAGAATATTTGTAATACGAACATAATGACAATAACAATATTATGTACAAGTCAGAAACATAAAGAAGTTTATGTGTGTGTACATATTTGTAGCTTGCGATTGCCCACGTTTAATCCAATATCCCAACATATACCTCTTACATTTATTTTGAGGAAGCATAACGTACGCTCGGATTTGTAGAGGACATTTTTTGCCACCCCGTTTTTTTGATGCCGACTCTGTAGACAATTAAAAAAAAACAATCCACGTGGGTTAACTAGATTGTTACTTACGCGGCTGGCTTCAGCCATCGATGTTGTTTAATGTCCACTATAATTTATATTTGTATCATTATTAATATATGGTTTTTTCTGGACACATTCCTTTCAACACGCAACTTAAATGTCGAATAATACGTAATATTAACATTAAAAGATATTTATATTTTCGTTATTATTCACTTTTATATAATACACATAACATATGTCGCACAGCGATTATATTACTGCGAAAGTGATACAATTATCTTGAATCATAATAATATGCGAATTATATTTATATATTCACAATATAACAAAAATTTTGCACAACATTAAACATTCATTTTATTTTAATAAAATATCTTCATAAATAATGCATTTTTTTTTTATTTTTTCAAAAATAACCATCATAAAAAATATTGTAAATGGTCTTTTGGAATAACAACTTTGTAATAATAATATGAAATGTATTTTTTTTCAGGGACGATACAAATGGCAATAGCAATGGAGGCGGTGGAGGTGCTTTTACGCGCTGGCTCAGGGAGTTCCGGCGAGAGTCCTATAAAGTAAACAACGGCACAGGAGGAAACGCGCCTGGGGGCACATATCACACAACGAATGAAGATAATAGGCGACGGCATTCATTTAATGTGCATGACAAAAGTTTCGCCCAAACTGACCCAAAAGGTGTATCACATACTACTGGTCAGCCGGTCAGAGTGCCTTGTAGGCGTGCCAATAGCACGGCAGCACCAAAATCTAGGTAAGCTTCAGCAATTAGTTACGATTATTATAAAGTATTGTTTTACACGGAGATGATCTAGATAATCATCGTCTAACAAAGCATTAACGGCTTTAAAGGTGTGATGATCACAGAAATATTTATAGATACACTGTGAAGGTCCGTGAGAGTAAATTTAACACAATCGTGACTGGATCGCCCCTAATATCCTTATATCGGTTACAATGCATAGCTGATCTCAACGCGAAAACAATAAACTATTTTGTGTGCGTTATGGCCTTGAGTCAATGAGAATGTGGAGAGCTGAAGTATACTTGTGTTTATTAAATGTTATCTAATGGTTTTAACCGGAACTACCGATGCGATTTGTTTGATAACGTAAATAGTAAGTCGGATGTGTTATAAAAATAATTATGCAGTTATGTGGATCACAATAAAAGGAATCTAAACGATTTCTTTTTGGCAATAAAATTACTAAGTTACGCGTTAAGTAGAATTGACACTATTTTATTGAATACTTCCTCACATCGTCAGTTATTTTTTGATTTTTCCAAAAAATATCCTTTGCGTTAGAATCTTTCAATTTTTGATATCAACTTTTATTGTGTCACGTTTTTAATTCTAGACGTAACATTAAATATTATTTAAATAAAACTTTTATCTCTAAACTCAGCATCTTCAATTGTTTTAGATATTAATTGTTATGTTTAACTTGTTTTTCATAATATTGGGAGTATCATTTAAACTTGACTTATTTTCAACATAAGCGATCAATCACCTGACTTCATAAAGTAAATAAGTGTATAATTGAAAAATACCAAAAATATAAAGTTAAATTATGGTTGAACATCGTCAATATTTTCCTAAAAGTATAATCTAATAAGCTACTTTTTTAATATTTATTGTTGTTTTATGTGTAATGAAATAACTATAATATTCTATTCCAATAAAGTGCAATTTATTGTCTCAAACCCATGTACCTTCTAGACATTTTAATCTCTTTAATGAAGGTCATGATCATTTCACCATGTATCCGGTTCGAGGGCTTAAACGAAAAATATCTATGGATTGTTCAAGCGAATAAGTCTTTAAAATGTGTGGTAAAACATAAATACCATTTGATCATATAAATTCTACGATTTAGTACATCTTTATACAACTGAACGAATACGATATTGATTATTTTTTACTACTATGGATAATAATTTTATGAAGCATAAAAAATCCTTTTTCTTCCAAAATAGACTTTGTTTTAGTCTAGACTAAATGATTAGTGACTTTGGTGTAGCGTTATTAAATCGTATGTATAATATTACGCGTATTTTTTTTATATATGACACTTGAATGAGTCATTGATAAAAAAAGATTAAAATTACCTACATATCAAACTGTTTTTTTTTTTGCTTTTAATTTAACAGTCAACGCTTAAATTAGAAAATAAAAATACCTGTAAATGTACACTTAATAAATTATCAGACAGTAAACTCAATAATAACGTTTTACATATTTTGCTTCAATTTAAATTTATGAACAATAGAAAAGTGTGAAAAACATAGACTCTAATTGGTGTATAGTTCCTATGGATAATTTGTCCGTATTTTGCGTGAACCATGAATTACGATTTGTTACTCTTGTTCGCGATGTCATTTGCATTTTGTTTGCTACAACAATGGAACATATCCACCTACCATCCACGACCGTCAAGTAGACTTAATGTGGGACATATGATAATACGAATACTCACTGATAAAACCATAATATGTGTCACTGTATTTAAATCAATCATGTGTACGTAATTTTAGCTGTCATAAGGCGAATTAGCATTAAAATTTCTTTATGGCTAGATCGAATATTTTTTTTGGAGGTACGTGTTTCATCATATCAAATGTGAATTTTACATTAACTTGCTGAGCTATCATAAGAAACGATTCGATACAAATCTGTAGATTGTGTTTAATTTTAACAGATTGGTAGATTATCCCAAAAGCAAAATTAACACGTATTTTTTCTTCTACTTCGACTGCCATTTGCACATAGAAAATTATATTTTTTGAACTTCTAGTACATAAAATAAACTTTATTTTAACATGTATTTAAAAGACGCAGTATTCCTGGAACATTTTCAACAATTAAGTTGAAAAACCTCTAATTTTTATACAAATTTTCAAGTTTTAAATAATTCAAAAAAGCTTTTCTTAACTTTGAAGAGGCAAAATAACCTAAATAAGTATAAATTTATATTTAATGTAAGTTGGATTCATGTAAATTTTATATTATTTGGTGGACTCATTTCTATGAAAAACTTTTTAAGGTATTTTAAAATGAAAAAACAAAAATAAAATTTTAACACAAAAATAGCATGGTTTTGACAACCATTTGCACGTAGAAGATAAGTTGTCGAGACCAAATTTTTTTTAAAATTTAGAGTACTTAACATAATATTTAATTTGACATATATTTTAAGGACGCAGTAATTCCAAACAGTATATCGCGTAAATTATGTAGCTGTTGTTTTGAAAAAATACTGTTTTACAAGATAAAATAGATATAAAATTTCACAAAAAGATTCTGAATGTATATTATCGTACATAATTGGCAGCTTTCGACAAAAAGTAAATCATTTGAAATTTTGAAGGTTCTCTGGGTGACTAAAGAAAATGAAATTATTTATATTATGGTGTTGAGTTACAGGTATGAAAAGATTGAAGTGAGTTGAGTATATCAACGTGTAACAGGGAATAATAGCGTGGGCGGATGAAACTGGCAATGACAGGCGGCAAAAACGCTTCGTGATTATAGGGATGCAGGAAGAGAAAGTTTTGCAGTCATGTTGTATGGAACAAATAAATAATAAACGCGGTTTTCAGTTGAGAGTTACTAAGTAGTCTTGAGGGAAATACAGTCAAACGAAGAATACATCATGGTCTATGGAACCAGTAATAAAAACAATTCATAGAAAAAAATTGAATTGAATCATTCGGCTTTGAGTTGGATAAAAAACCAACAATACAAAACCAAATCAAGCATTATTTATAACTTTTTTCTTTGTTTTGTCAATTGTGACTACCAATACGTCCATAACCTAATAAAGAACAAACATTAACATTCGATTATCATTATAATCCTTACAGACATTAAACAAAAATGGTTTCCATAACTAAAAAAAATATTTACCTATTATTTACTACTGTTATTAGGCTAAAGAAGAAAGTAATTTGAACCTAAATAATTTATTGCTATTGTGTCTTTTATACTTCTGGAATGATACATGATTACAAATGATTGTAGTATAGTTAAACGTAGGTTCTATTTTTGACACAATTCTTTAAATGTTACATTTGCAATATTAGTAATCAATAAAAATATTTTTATGATGCATATGATGATAAGCTTACTCTTTATTTATTGGCATCTAAACTCATAAAAGCATTCATAATAACTCAAAATGAGTTGACATAGGTAAAGAAATTTAAAGCTTATTGCACATTGCCATTAGAGCTTTCTCGTGGTAATAAATATCGGTCAGCACTATAATAAAAGTAAATAACAGTAACTAGCAGTAAAGTACCCCCCAATCCAGGTGACAATAATGGAATTTTCAAATCCATGAATGCATTATCTTTTGCCGATCAAAGATATAAAATTGTTTTATCGCCATGTTAACTGATCCTAAGATATGGGCGTACAGGTCCACAAAAGGTGTTGAAAAGAAATTATTGAAGCTACACGAGATGGATAATGATGTGGTGAATACAGTAATATAATAAAATAGAGTATCGGGGTAAAAGGTTGTAAGGAATCTTAAAGCCACCATTTCCGGAAACGAATCATACACTACATACACGACCGGAATTCGAAATCAGTTACAATATGTTATGCGTCAGATGAGAGTAATTAAGATAGTTACTATGAAAATTCTTCATTGCATACCGAGAACGAATCAATAGGTTGACCTTTGTCGGGTAACACAAAGAGAACGAGAGCGTAATTAAAAGTAATCCAAAGCCGCCATCCGGGTTGTATCAACTAATAAAATGAAAAAAAAAAAGAGTAATAATAATATTACATTCTTCAGAATCGAGGGTTTTTAAACTGATTGCAATGTAAATAATTATTGGGCATGTGGTAATGACTATTTAAGGGAAAGTTGCAGCTTATCATAATAATAAGAACTATAATATTGTACGATTGTGTTACAGATAGTTAAGTAGTTATCCTCAATCGCCTCTGCAGTCTCTCCGTAAAATGCTTCCCAAATATGTAACTAAATGGCTCAAACGTCGAATCGGACGATTTTACAACCCTAAACGTTCCAAAGGTATTCTGCCCCCGAAATAGGGAGAAATCGTATCCAAAACACACAAGACTACAATCCATGTTAAAAAATTATGACCATCATTTCGAGGTCGTTACACATAACGTTACCAATACAATCTATGATTTGTGAAACAAGTTGTATATACACAATAATTTTTATCGCCAAATTAATAAAAAATAACAGTTCGATATCGGTCAATGGCAAAAATCACATTGTTGTTGTTGTTATTGGATATTATTTGTCTCCAATTCGTTTTCTTTATGAAATTTCAAATATGATTGCAAAATCTGTTTTTGTCAGTTGAATATAAATAATAGTAAAACATCGAACGAAAACAAGCCAAATAGTGTTGCATTCAAATATATTAAATAAAAATAAGAGGCTTTTAACGTCATATCGTTTTCATTTGTTTATACAGAAACTTGTCATTGTTTGGTATTTATTTTTTTCAAATTTAATAAACAAAACAATGTAATGTATTATTATAAGGTCTTTTAGGATAGCTAGTTGTCGTCATAACGAGTGGCGCCAAGTAGCGAAGACGGCCGTTGTTAGGAAAACGCTTTCTCTAAACTATATGGCGTCAGCGTTCGTCATAAATAATTGATCATCAGGTTTTTGTCATAGGTCTATTGTTTAATAAAAGTTGTAAAACCAAAAGCCGAAAGCGATAGTTGCGTTATCAGTATTTAGCCTAAGTACC